AAATGGAGAAATCAAGAAAAGTAGAAGGAGCAGTTTTTTTCTGCTCATCAGTTCAATTTATAGGCATAGCAAGTTTTCATAAATAATGGCATATACCTTTTATTCAATGCAAATTAAGTTCACTTTTCCAAGTTTTCACTTCACAGACCTGGCAACTGCAGTTTGATGTACTTTAGGAAAACATACATGTAACATAGATAAATTGCATTTCACTGTATAACTGAATCTCCAATGCAGATTTTAGTCTACAAGGGATAAATTTATTAGAATTAGTGCCAAAGATATAGATTTCATGCTGACTTTCATTTGCCTTAAACTCCTTACTTTACTTCAACAATAAATAGTGACTTTGCACGTAAGATGTCATTTTAAAATACTGTCAGAATGATGTGAAAAGGTGCTATGGTAAATAAGCATCAGATCCTGCCTGAGTGCTCAAAGCAGGACCATACGCAGCAATGTGCCGCTCTGCCACTCACTTCTCTGGAGTAGCAATATGCTGCCACTGCACTTGGCAAATGGATTTCTACTGACCAGCTGTTCAAACCTCCCTTCCCCACACCTGGGCTTGCACTAGAGCTTCGTGCAGCTGAGATGCGGGATGCCAGGTGAGTGCTGAGGGTGCCTTGCTCAAGCTGAATTTGCCATTTCTTGAACTTGTTCCCCCAAGGTCAATGTCACCACTGGCAAACCACGCAGGTCACTATTTTAAAAGCCTTGCTGTGGCTTGTGAATTTTAATGTGCCTTTAGTGTTAAACACTGGCAGGTGATGTATAAAGAACATAATGCTAATGGGGTATATTTTGGGAGGATTATTTCAGGTGCTTAAATGAGGCAGTGAGGGAGTGGGGGGCCAGAGGTAGGCATTCCTCAAGCCTGTTTTGCCACCAAGGAAAATGTTGGCAGATTCACAACCTCAGTCCATGGTCTGTGCGCTCAAGGATTATCTAGAAAGGACTGCAAAGTGGGCAGGTGACTTTCATGGCTTGTTCCAAAACATACTAAGGTGAAGGAAATAAAAAAAGTAGTGATTTTTAGTTTCTGGAAAGCTTAAGACTGTGACAAGACTCATGTATTTGGAAGTACTGGAAGAATGTATCAACAGTTTGAAATCTGGGATCTGACAAAGTGGTCTGTATACTCAGGCAGGTGTTTCAGTGATGAAGAAACTTGCCTTTTATGACAACAGTTTTGAATATTTAAGACTCTTTCTTGTAGAAGTCCTTAGCTGACTGAAGTAGTACCATGGCTCTGAAGTTGTGTCTGCAACTGAATTCCCCAGCTGGAGTTTGTCTCAAGACTTATGTGTGGAAAATTCTGCAGTACTGTGGAAGGCATCACAATGGATATCACAACTGGAAACTCAGAGAATATGTTTATTACTTATAAAACTGGCTGTTCCACCAGTCCTTTAGCCTCTGAAAGATGTTAAATGGCAGACACTGCACAAATAATGAAACCATTCACAGGACAAGGTGGGAACAGAAGGGCTATGGTGGCCTTCAGAGTAATACAGCAACGCTTTTAGTTTGATACGGTGATCTATCTTCTGTTGCAGGTCGTCTTTCATTCATGCATGGTTTTACTAGCCTGAGATATACCACTCTATTTTTTCCTCTTCTCTTTGAGCACTGCTGTATGTGATATCTCTTGTGCAATAGAAATTGCCTGCTGATTTAAGATTCACTCTGATTTGTGATGTTTGCAATGTAATTTTCCTCTTTACTGCATTTTTTGTTCCCATTGTTTTATTTAATATAGGCCTGTCTGAGTATGAACCTGTGCAAGACAGTTTTGCCCTGCTGTAGCTGCATGGTGTTACTGTACTTTCATCTCATCTCCCTGACTGGATCCATGTGATATTTGACCTCCTTAGGGCATCATACTCTGCTTTTAATCTTTAGGGGTCTGTCCAGCCCTGGGTTTGAAAGTATGGTTCTATTGCCATACTAACCAGAGCTCATTAGCACCTGTCAGCCTGGAGCAGGCAGCGCAGTATATATGCCAACAGCAAGGCTCAGGTGAAACATGTGGTCGTTGCAATAAAGTGACCTGAGCCATGAGGGAAGGTTTTGAGCCCAGACTGCCGCTGTGCATTTGCCTTGATAATACACATGCACTGTTTTTCCTTGTGTACAGAGCAGAAGGTTGCTAAAGTTAGGCACAAGGGAGTGTCACAGGGTAATGATTTTAAACTAAAATAAGGTAGATTTAGCCTAGATATAAGGAACAAGCTTTTTACAAGGAGGGTGGAGAGGCACTGGAACAGCTTGCCCAGAGAAATTGTGGATGCTCCATCCCTGGAAGTGTTCAAGGTCAGGTTGGATGGGCCTTTGAGCAACCTGGTGCAGTGGAAGGTGTCTCTGCCCAAAACAGGGTGGTTGGAATTAAATTATATTTAAGGTCCCTTCCAACCCAAAACATTCTGTGATTCTATGTTTCTCTAAGAAGAGAACTGACTTTTATGAGATGGTTCCAGTTGAGACAGAGGCTGGTCATCGTGTTAGAAATCTTATGTGTCCCACAAGGATATGTGAGCCAAGCTCACAGGTACCTGATGAAGCAACCACTGTGGTACAAAAGTAGTTGCTGTTCTGGGGAGGACACCCATGATGCAGGGCGTTGGAAGACTTATTGCTGGAGACCCAGTCCATGCAGTGTGTAAAGTCATCAAAGGGGCGTTTGATTCACAGCCTCTGGAGGCACATACTCAGGTCATCATCAGTACTTGTACATGGATCTGATTTCACACATTTTTTTAGATTGCAGAGAGAGCACAGAGCCTCATCCTCTGCTCACCAGCTGCATGCAAATTTTACCTTCAGAGTTGGGTAGATACCCTTTTTTGGGCTGTCTCAAGATCAACTGTGTTTCCTTGCTGGGTTTCTGGCTACCTCCTGAGTCCTATGCAGTGTTTGTGACCCCCAGCTGAAAAGCGGGAGGAAGGAGCTGCAAGGCGTTATCCAGAGATGCAGCCATAAGGATAGGATCAACCACTGGAACAAAAAGAGTTGCAGAGAGGCTGTGCTCTCTGCTGGGAGTAATGGGGATGTAGTACAATTAATGATGTGAAAGCAATAAAATGATGGGGTAAATGAGGTGGCAGTTTCTGTTTTCTATTCCCTGCTGTCTCCCTTTTCTTAAACACTTAATGACAAGGCTGACAAGGCCACTTCTCCGCCTCCTCACAAGGGAGCATGTTGTCATTTGAAAAGAACAAGACTTTGGGAGCAAGAAAACAATTTCAATTTAACTGCTGTTTTTTGAAGCTGCTGTGCGCGCAGGATGAAGTGGTTAAACTTTGTGCAAGATCGGTGTTTAAGATTCGATGCTACAGCATCAAGGCCAAAGGAAGGAGAACCCATCCCTCTGCTCCGCCTGTGTGGCGTCCATGTGACACCATTTCCCCAGTGTGGAAGGAGGCTGCAAGGCAGCTTATGTCCTAGTTAGTGCCTGATCTCAGCAAAGATGTCTGTGCTGACGCATGCTGAGATGTCTTGTCACACTCTCCCCGCTGGTTCCAGTGAGGTGTATTTCTAGAGCATGGAAAATGCACTGGCTCGAGAGCCCAGGAAACAGTGCTGGAACATCCACTGGAGGAGGTGGGGGGGGGGCAGGAAGAGGATACAAGATGGAAAAGACCAGTAGGCATGGGCTAAACTCTTGAGTAATGCTTTTTGTACATAGGCTGTGGCACTAATGCTGTAGTAGTTAGCAGAGGGAGCCCTCTCACCTCCTGTATTCTCCACTCTGTATCCCCTTGTACCCATCAGTCACACCTGGCTGCACCTTGGCTGACACCTGGCAGTCAGCCAAGCATTTCACTCAGAGCAGTTCTGTTGTCTGCTTCTCCTTCTAAGTCACTACAGAAACATAGGGGATGGAAATGGTTGGATTCTACTGTATCTCTTAAGTAAGAATATTACAGTCAATTTGTAATAAAGGTGTGTTTCTTCACCGTTTTGGGGATGCCTTTTCTTTCTCTGGGAATAATCTAGCCACAAAAATTATCCCTCCTCCAAGCGTTTGCTGGACCACATGTTGCTCTTTATAGATGTTGAGGGGCAACAGTCTCTGTGGCTGGTGGGCGCTGCCTGTTCACAGCTGCCCAGGGACCTTCTTGGGTAAGAGTCATGAAAGCCGAGGCTGCAAACACAGAATTGGATGCTGTTTTACAGCCTGCAAGCAGTAGTTGTGCTGGGTTATGTTACCATGACCTTGTTTATAAAAATTGATAGTATGTTTGTCTTCTCTGCGAAATAATGGGGCTCCTCACAGCACTATAACAGTAACCTTGAACGGGTCTTGAATACACTCACGATGACTTGCAAAGTGTTTTTTGAAAATGCTTGTTCAACATTTTGAAAGTAGACTCTCATGCACCTGTTATTTGGTCTTGCTTAAATGGCATCTTTAAGTGGCCGTTTACCAAAATAACAAATCCTACTTGAATGTTATTAGTTTATCAGCTTCATAGAAAGTTTGTAAATCTTACTGAAAATTGGACAGTCTGATAATTTCATGCAATAACAAAATACATTAAAGAAACTGTCAGGAGATCTATGTTCCTGGCTGCCCTGTCAAATAGCGGATATGTTAACATGTAAGACAGTTGTGTTCCAATAGGAATTGTTTGATTGCTGATGATTTTCCTTCCAGATTATGTAACAAAACAGGTCTTTTTTTAAAAAAAAAGAACACCTGTGAGACTTGCCTAGTTTTTTATTTCATGGGAGTTAAGGTGTTCTACTGAAGGACAGCAAAACCACCCCCTGCACTGAGATGCCCTTTCTCTTCCCACCTGTTTGCTACTTGGGCCATAGTCAACTGCGCAAAGGTATTTTTTATCAGTTTACTCAGTGCAGTGTGAACTCAGTGACTGAAAAGTGCAATAATTTGTTTTTTATTGGGTTGCAGTGTGCTATCAGAAAACCACCATTATATTGTTCTTCTTAAACGAGTAAGTATTTTTGTATTTCTTTGTTTTGTGATCTTGCAGACTCAGCTCTTGGGAGTTTTACTTGCTGCTGCTTCAAATTTGCTGATTAGTGTCTCCTTGAATATACAGGTATGAAATTGTTTCTCTTTATTCAGAGTTGTTTATATTTATCAAGTAGCTTTTGTTGCAGTTTGGTTTTGATAAAGTTCAAAATACAAATTTTGTTGCATTTAATAAACAATCTCTCTCTTCAACTGTAATTTAACAGTGCCCTGCTGTAGTTGTTGGGAGCTCTCAACCTGTTTTGTACTGTGATTCTCATACAGGAACTGAATAAGAATTCGTAACTAGTGCTCCTCCTTGTAATGTGCTATAAGGAAATACCAACTGTGACTCACTTGTAATCATTAACAGCATTTGCTGGATTTGAACTATCTTCCAGCTTTTTAAATGCTATTTAGGAAGACCCAATAGCTCTCATTGCAATTTGACAGACATTTTAAACTGAAATTTTTTTAATCCTTTAAAGTATGTTTTTCTCCATTTAGTAACAGTATCTTCTAAATATGAATAATGAGTTTCCCTAGATCTCAACATTTATTTTCATACTGATATTAAAAGGATAGGCTGAACTTTTTTGTTCTCTGCCCTTTTCCCACTATGCAGTCCATTAACCTTCCTCTCTTCCCTCTAGCAGGTTTGTCAGCTAAAGAACAGGTCATCATTTGCAATGTATTTCATCTAGGTTATAAACAGTCTCCACCTAAATACCATTCACACATATTACTATGTAAAGAAGGCAGACATCTGGAGAAAGAAGGCTATAAGAGAGTTGCTGAGATCACTTTCCTGTGTTTGTTGCACATCTTTTCAATTGCACTGTGCCTTCAAGACTTAATCCTACAAGAATCTGGGGGAGAAGACACAGCTCAAGATTCAGTTAAGAACTTGGTTTCCAGCAGAAACTTGCATTCTTGATTTGAATATTATTTAATATTAATTTCATTTGTATTTTTATTGGGCTTTTTTCCCCTGTGTTTACAAATATGGAACACTCAAAATCCTGGATGTTACTGTGAATAACATCCAGGTCTGTGGCTCAAGGAAGTTCGATTTCCTTGTGCTCTTTTTCTCCTCAGAGGGCTAAACTTCCTAGGATTTCATCCTCTGAATATGTTCCTCTGCATGAAGCTGCAGTAATGTGCTGCATCCTCTCAATAGGAGTGACTAAGACTATGGAGTGTCACAGACATTACTGTTAGGCATATACTCTGTAAAGTAGCCTACAAAGTAGAAAGGGAGTTTGAGGAAAATTGTTTACAACCTCCCCAGGGCTCTGCAGGGATACTTCTAAAATCAAATATCAAGTAATGGAGAAAAAAAATAATTTTATCACCATTTATACTGCAATAAATGTAGCATTTGATTTCCAACTTTTTTTACCCATGTGCAGAGAGGCTGGAGAGGAATTTGAGAAAGGAAGCTATATTCTGCAGAACTAATGTGGTAAACATTGCATCATTCCCAATTATGACACCTTCCTGATGGACACTGCCTGGACTCTGTTTCAGAAGATCAGTGTGATCAATGGCACATTATTATCTTGTTATATACAGGTTCTTGCTGTACAGCCAGAGAGAAAACAATTACAGCCTGTATCGATGATACCTTCTTCATGTAATAGGAAGTGTTGATGGAGTATTACTTGAGTATACGTTATACCTGTTGTCACAGGTATAGCTAGTTTTCCTTCAGAAAATAATGCTTTACCTATGATCTTCTTCTAAGGTCAAACAGGAGACTGTAGCCAAATCCTAAATTCTGTCTAATTAATTTAGAGCCCTCCCTACAGAAGATGTGATTAAGTGCTACCTTTTTCATTTTGAAGTTTTATTTCTGGCGAGGATATGTTTCATGGGCAGGAATGCCATGTTGTCTGTTCCCCTTCTTCCAGTTTGTTGCCGCAGTTCTGATTCTGCTCCATCTCCGGCCTTTGAGTGTTTCCAGATTCAGAGCACAACTGCTGGGCTTCAGCTTTGAGACAAGAACAGATGCGTGCAGTGATAGCTCAGAAGCACTAGCTAGTATTCACTTAGTATTTTTCAGGTTTATTCAGAGGCCTAATTTTTCAGCCATTTCCACCACAGCTCAGAAAGCACACATCTGAAGCAGCACTGAGTTAACACAAAGCTGTGCAATAACAAGCTGAAAACCATGCTTAAAAAGAAACCTTGACGCACCTGGAATTTGAAGTTGACAGCCCCCTTAATTATTCCACTTTTGTCAGACATAAGAACACAATGGAAGTCTTTCTATTCATGCCTGTTCCTAATAATTAATTTTTTAGAAATGCGCTCATCTTCGACTGGCTTGCCAAACTGAGCTGAAGCCCTACTACACGAGCAAGCTGTGGTGGTGTGGGATTACCCTCCTGGGGCTTGGAGAGGTGGGCAATTTTGCAGCCTATGGATTTGCCCCCATTACTCTTGTTACTCCACTGGGATGTGTATCTGTCATAGGTGAGATTTTTGCCATTTCTTGCTTGGGTACATGCTTTAATCAAACGCTTGCTTGTGACTAGGAATAAAACCGCAGGAACTGCAGAAGGAACACAAGAGGAAAATGTTAATGTTGTGGTTTGAAAAGAAATTATTCATATAATTACATGAGCTGACAGTTTAACAAAAACTGTCTACTTAACTCAGAGACTCTTCTAATATATTTCTTTTTCCACAGTTTTTTCTTTTGTGTCACTCTGTGCTCTGCTAGTTCCTGCCAGTTTGCCACCCAGTGCTGCAGCAGTGTTGCCAGCTCTGCAAGCCCCCGAAGAGGGAGGCTGGCATCCTGCTGACTGCACAGAGCTGTGGTCTGATCCTGAGTACCTACACGTTTTCTATGTTACCATCACGCCAAGTAGTTTCTGCTGCCTGTCCCCTGCCCATCCCCATATCTCATGTTAACATGGGCAAACTTGCTTGACTCTCTGCAAGTGTAACAAAAAGGGCCTACAAATTTAGTGTATTTGTGGACATTATTAAACTTGTTCATTTGTTCCTTCATGTACAGATTAACTGGACTTCAGCAGAAGTGATATGATCTTACTCTTTTCTTAATTTGGTTTTTTTTTGTAATTAAGATATTGAGACAACTGTGATGTTTCTTTGATAAAGTAACATAAGTTTTAAAATATGTTATCATGTTGTGCTAATGCAAAGCATGGTGGAGAGAGTGATATTGTACAGAGGCTGTGAAAACAGGAATTCAGGGTGCAGCTGCATCCCTTAACTCAGTCACTTCACATCCACAGCTGAAACATCCAGGGCTGAGATATCTCAAGATATGCATATGCTGGAGCTCATTTACTTGCTCTTGGCAGGTGATAACACTTCATGATCTGTCACTGGCTACCTGTTTTATGCTCAGAAGTGACATTGCAGTGAGTGATTCTGCATGGGAACGTAGAAAAGATGAATTATCTTCCCAGTGGACTACCTGGCTGTAGTGGAAGGAGGCAGCTAACCATGTGTGGGTGCAATTTAGTGCAGAAAGGAAACTGCAGACAATTTACTGCAACCTTTAATGTTAAACTATTGCAGAATTTCAGAGTGAAATGTAAAGCCATGTTAGTTCACCACAGTAGGAAAGATTTCTCAAAGAAAGGAATGCAGTATTACCTGAGGTGGAAATGTAAATTAATATGACGTATCTCAGTGTGATTTTGGTGGTAGTAGTTATATCTTTAACAACTGTAGACATTTCCACATGTCTCTGAACATAAAAGGATATCGACCAATCTAATTTGTTGCCCAAACTGAATAAAACGCAAATATAGAAAACGAGAAAGAAGAAGTGAAAAGCAGTGAGAAGATGAAAAATCCCACTGGTTATTAAACTGCTGCAAAGAAGAGATCACATTTAGGGTTGATTTTTATCTGAGCAGATTCCTTCTTCTTTATTTTCGCAAAATGTGAAGAAATGTTGCATCTGATGATTCCTCCATTCTCCATTTCCCCTTACTTATAAAAAATACCAAGAAATCATTTTCCTAACTGTTACGTCTTATCAAAATTCTCATCCACTTTTTTTTGACCCAAAATGCTTATCCAGTAAGACCCCAGAAAGCACTTTAATAGTTTATATTCCATTCCCATATATCAGCTGACAGTATCCATTTCATAGCCCAAACAAATACCTGAAATTTTATTTAGTCTAGCAAATGCTCCCTTAAGGAAGGGAAAATTAAAATTATGTAGACAGCCAATAATAGTGATAACTTCCCAATAACATTTTCTACTACTTTCCTGTTTTCTGAAATTAAAGCCAGAGAACATCTCTTAATTTGAGAAGAGTTCATCATATAGGCCAATGACAAATTAACCAAGACACATGTGCATCATCTGCTAACGACTGGGCAAAGGATACTGTAGGCAGCAGGTCTTCCAGTTTAAAAGATCAAGAAATATTTTTCTCAATAAGTTGTGACCTCTTTTAGGTGGTGGAGGGTGGACTTTGCAGAGTCTGGTAGTTGTTTTGAGGTATTGTTGAATTTATGTCTTTCATGAGTTAATTTTTTAAATGAAGAAATTAAGTACTTGATAAAAAACTCCAAATGTATATCTGAACCCTAAGTCCAACCTTCTGAGCCGCATTTTTTCCTAAATTCGGTGTCAACACGCCCCATATGGTAAGAGCTGATTCTCAGTGGCATTGGGAATGCAGTGCATATGGTTACTGAGGAGAAATGTGCTTTGCGGCATGTCCAGTCATCTAGGGGGTTCTCTGCAGATCTCCCTCACTCTGGGTCTGCATGGAAAATTGTCTTTGCTTGGAAACCAGGGTTTTGGAGGAGTATAAGGTAGACTGGAGTATCTGCCCAGAATGGATTTGAGCTGTACCCATCATATATCTCCAGACTTCTGATGGGAAGCATCTTAAAATAGATGGAGCCAACATCTATTATGATCTGCTACCACATTTAACTGCATCCAACTGCATTTTGCACTTAACCTGGTATCAATTAAATAGTGAAAAGTTTGTGCCTCATTCTATTGAACTGGATGCTTTCAATGACTGGCTTTAAAAAGAATCCAGCACCACAGACCATGAACTGGCATGGCACCAACAGATTTTAATTTTTTTTCTTAGAATTAAGCTACAAAGGCTATATTTTTCTTCTTACACAGTGGAAGTATTTCTCTGTGTGGTTGCAATGATGCAAGCTCTACATCTGTTCAGGGTTTTAAATAGTTTGAGAAGACAGCAGTTGTTTTCTTCAAGAGGATAAATTAGTAAATTTTAATTTAAAAGTGGAGGAGTAATACATGTTTGATGTGATCATTAAGAAACTTTTTATACTTAAAAAATAAAAATCATGTTTTACATGTAGCTCGGGTAATTTTAGGCAGCAGTGGTTTTAAGCTCATCATCTTGCTTTTGCCTGCAGAAATAGCTTGGAGGTGGAGGGATTGGGGTGGTAGAGGCCAATGGCATTCGAGATAATTTCTTTTGCAGTTTTCATCATGCTGTAGAGAGTGTCTTTACACTTAACTCACTTAGACTGACATTGCTGAGATCCCTTTCCTTTTTTTATGTGCTCTTCGCAAATAGCTGTGGGGCAAGAAATTGCTTCAGGCTTTGAATATTGATAACACGATGGTACTTTGGAAAGATCCTCAGACATTCCTGTAAAAGTGGATTTCACCCACTCCGTGTAATGTAACATCTTTGTGGCCCAAGAACTTGGAATTTTGAGGACTCTGTTGCTAATAATATCTGGGAAACATTCACCAAACTATTCTTTAAAATACTTTTTTTTGTACTCATCTAGAAGATGCAACAAAAGAATTCTCAAAGTTTTTCCTTCTCTCTGCAGTTTTTATCTCCTATAATCCAAGTTCCAGAATTAAGCTCACCTTATTAGTCTCTCTTTTGAGCAATTCCTCTGATATTTTCAATGTTTGTACTCTTTTTTTAATCAGGTCACATCTCCAAATGTAACTGGCAGCAACTGCATCCTCATAACTTGAGCACTGCTCAACAGATTTAGGGTAAAATCAACTGGATGAACTTAAACTGCTTGATTACATGGAAGCAGACCCTTAAGTGGGCATAAAACAGAGTAAATGCTTGGTCTGGAAGTGAAACGCTGTTGCACAAACTGGGAGAGGTGCAATAGTCTTTGAACCATGGCTGGTGCTCCTCCTTTGGTATTTCATCCAGACCACCAGTGAAATGGGGACAAAATATTCTGCTAAATGGGTAGTTTTAAATGCCTTTACCTGACTGAATCAGTTACACTTAACAAAATGAACATCTGAGGCAAATATTAAATTTGGTGTGGTTTTTTTTTTTTAAACTATTAGAGAAGACAGAAGTAGTACAGGCAGTCTATGCATTTATGAGGAGAACGCTAATGTTTTTTAAATCATACAGAAAGCTCATCTAGGAATCAAAAAGAGGAAAAGGAAGTATATACTACTATTTGAAGCTATGATCGATTGTGAAAGAAATTATATGGTGTAAGACTTGACAAAAAAGAGGTAAAAAGGTCATATTCATAAATAGCCTTAGTATCAGGAAAACAGTAGTAAAATATATCTTTTTTAAATAGTTATGGGTAGGAAAAATAAATGATGGACACTCATTTGAATTTTTAAGGCTGGATTGGACAAATACAGAAAATATACACTATGAATCAGTGTATATTTTCTACCTCTTAACTTCTCCTATTGCGTATTATCCCTTTCTTAAAGAAACAAGCAAGAAACAATCCTAACTGCAGCTTTCATGTCTAGGATGCAGAGGAGTTATTTTGTGAGCTGGATTCTCACCATTCATTGTCTGCTAGTTGCAGAACCCACACATCACAGTGCTCTTTATTTCTGTTTGTGCTGGAGAAAACGTACATATGGAGATAATTGTAAACGATCACTCTCCTAAGAGAATGAGCAGCTGACTGAGCTATGTGTAGCACCATGACAGCCTTCTCTCAAGGCACTTAATTGCACACCATGAAGAAACTCATTTTTTTTATCATTTTTTCGATTTAAATTGAAATTTGCATGCTGCAGTGAATATATGTTCATTCAATAATGTGAATATATAATCATTCAATATATAGTAAATATATATACATTCAGTAATGAATGTAAAACAGCCTAGTTTATGCTCATGTATGAAAAGATGTTGTTTCAACATAAAAATTAAGCTCCTGAACAAACTCTTTTTTCTCATTTATCACCCAAGAGTTTTTATTTATCATTATTTTGATATAGTGTCAAGTCATATTTTCCCTTTGAGTTTAATGAGCATTCAGAAAGGCTTTGTCATATAGATACAGGCATTTTACAGGACCTATTTACTTCTCAAATTATGGATATTACTATAAGCATGCAATCAAGGCATGAAACGAACTCAAGGATTACATTAGGATGTGTTGGTTCTGTAATGTTTAATCCTTAACAGATCATCTTGCAGATTTTCTGCCCTTCTCTTGATCTAGCAGGCGACCACTTTCAGTGGGAATGGGAATTGGATCTGTGCCTACTTTTGAAAGTTTTACCTTAAAAATTAGTTAAAAAGCCAAAAATAGTTCTGATTCACCCAACAGTATACAAGTCTTCTCAGATGACCAGGAATGTAGTCTTTGCTCTGATGATTTAAAGGCTGACAATCCAGGCTTAGAATTGTGCACGTGTTGTATTCCCTAAACCAGTGGTTCAAAACTAGCAAGGCTTCAGAACAATGATAAATCACTTGTTTTGTTGCCGAGCTGTTGCCAGCTTACTCTTTGACACAGTTTTTATGTCTGCATTTCTGTGTTCTATTGCTGACCAATTAAAAAAACCCAGACCAACAGAGACTATTTTTCACTTTGACATGGATCTCAGTCTCTAACTGTCTATAGGTTTGGGGGTTTTTTATTTTAAAAAAGGCAAAACAAAACCAGTTGCAAAGATATATTAATACTTTGCAGCACACCAATTGCCCAAGTTCCTCATATATTCACTCACACAGTTGAACATAATGTTCAGTAATTTATTTCCCACATCACTATAATGGTGAAGGAGGAGGAGAAGGAGGCACACAGTTTCTGTGACAGGGAGAACAAGAGGACCCTGGCATGGGAAAGGGAAAATTGGGACTGGGTGGTAGGAAGTTAGAGTTGTGCTGTGGTTATAGGGTGAAATCAAGGTGAAGGGAAAGAGGCCTAGGAGGAAAGTGTGAGGGAATAACATCATTGGTAGTGGGTAGGAAAGGTGGGAACATGCAAAGCACCTCCCCTGTGATCTGAGGGATGGTGGGAAAGAAATGGAGAGTCTGGAGAGTTTCAGCAGGGATGCATTTAGGAACTGAATTTGGTATACAGTAAGTGCTTAAATCCATATATCTGGTAGGCTTAGTTGTAGCCTCTGGATGCCCACTTACTCTCCTGCCAAGAATTCAAGGGCTCTAGGGTAAGTCAGGTTAGAAGGAACCTTGGAAAGTCCCTAACACAACCTCCTGCTCACAGCAGGATCAGCTTGGAGGCCATCCAACAGAAAGGAGATGGCAGGGAGTATGTGTTGGCCATTTAACATATTGTCTTTACCTTTTCTGGAGGAGTTAATGTCTCAAGCAGCTGAATGCACTTGAGGCTGAATGGGAGCTCAAGGGAGTTAAGGAGGAGGAGCAGAACAGCTGGGAGGGCTATGCATTTCTTGCTGGATTCCTGGGATACACTTTGGTGTCTGCCATTTATCCTGCCAGCCAAGGAAAGCTGCAAAGCCATCAGAATTGAAAACCAGAAAACACCAGCCTGCATACCTGCAACTCACAGGCTCCCTCCATATCCCTCCTCCCAGGCCCACCTGGTTTCTTTGCTTTAACTTGATCCATCCCTACCTCAAAAATTGAAGAATATGAAAGACTATCTGAAAGCCAAACTTGGGAGCTTAAAACCGAGAAAATTAAGAAAATGAAAGTAAATTAAAATATCTTGTTAGCCAGTGTGTTCTCTTGGCTGTGCTACCATAACTTGCTTAAAATTCAGCCCTGGAGGTAATAGCCAGAGTTTGCCAGGCTTCTGATCAGTCACATATGTCTTCTAACATCTCATCAGATCTGTGTAACCATTCTCTGCTTCTTCTCTTAGATTTACCCCCTTTGCTTTTCTTCTTCACTGGAATATATATGGAGCATTGGCAGTTTATCCACAGGGACAGTTGTCTTTTGTGTTCAGAGTATCTCCTAGGTCTTACTCTCCTCACCTTGGTTTTTCACCTCCTCCCGTACTTCAGTTTTCCCTCTAATCCCGGATGGTCTAATATATGTTCTTCAAACCTCTGCTATTTTTAGATTCCTCTACATATTAGTCTACATCATAAAGAGCATTAATTATACATACATTCTGTTGAGCTCATGTTCATTGGTGCATTACCAGCTATCTCTGGAGAAGGAGCTGGCTGCATTTGAATGCATTATTAAAGTGGATGACAGGCTGAGTGACAAGTTTCATTATCTGGCTCCATTCCTGTACCTCCTTGTGCCCACTGCCAGCCTCAGAGGTTGTGATCCCTCCAAGCTGCCATTTGTCATCTGCAGAGTATTGAGCTCTGAAAATCTGGGCATAACTCGTCTCACCCCAGATTGAATGCCAACAGTGAAATTGAACCCTAGATTGCATTTGCTAGATCTCTGCTGAATGTAGAGAGCCCCAACAAGGGAGTACTCAAAAAAAAAAAAAAAAATCACTAAGGTATCAGTGATTTAAGCAACAGGTCTTTGCTGTGACACTGACTGCCTAGGTGGGTGGGCTGAAGTGGGATTTGGGAAAGTTATGAAAGCAGGGCGACAGAGCAGTAATTAATTCCTGCACTGTCTTGGATGATGCTACTTCTTTCCTGGTTTTTGTCCTCTCCTTTTTTCTAAAGCTAGGTAGCTCTGCTATTACCAGTGTTGCCTGGATACCACCAGTGTCTTTGCTCCAGCAAAGTTGTCACTGAAACACTGAAGAAAACTGTGTCAAGCACCTTACTTTCTGTGAGGCATTTTCAGTTCAAGATTCTTTTTTTGCACTTATTAATTTGTATAGGTCTCCATCACTCTTGATACAGTTTAACTTTGTGACTTCTGCTAGATCTGATTTTCTGCTGACTGGATAACACAGACATGATGCTGAACTCCTTTTCTCTGTTTATATCTTGGTATGTACCTCTCCAGATTTATCTAGGGTACATCTACTAGCTAATCACAAATTAAATTTTCCATCAGAACAATAGAGGTAATGATGCAAAGATAGTTGCAAAAAGGTTGAAATGTTGTTTCAAGAATAAAACAATAATTTCACTTTGTGGGCAGGAACAGAGCTCTTGTAACAGCATCCCATGACTTAAGTTCAATGTGTGCCTTCACCATTCCTCCTGGGCAGAGACTTTCTTTGAGGTTTCTAAATGAATCCAACATTACTTATGCACCTCTCCCAAAGGACTTTCCTCATCTCTTTTACATAGGAGCTACCCAGCTTCTTTTGCTTCTTTTTAGAGGTAGATGCTCTAATGTTGTATGTTGTAATGGAGCCACCTCTCCCAGGTGGCCAACATTTTAAGTACAAACTCCTTCTTTCCTCTCTAGCACATGTCCACATTGGATTGCTTATCAGAAATCCTGGCCCTACCACTGCTGCTGCTCACCTGCGCGCTACTTCCCATCCTAAACGGGCAGGGCTAGGAGCTGGCAGAGGGCAGATGCAAGAGCTGAACAAGGGACAGAGTTTTCCAGGAAATGGGACATCATTTCCAGAGCTCACTTCTGGTTTTCTCCTTCCTCAGTACAAGTCCCTCTGGAAGAGCATGGGCAGTGCTCCCATACGGTACATATATGGGGCTTTCTACCTGTTTGTTAGCAGACATCATGACCACTCTATTAGTTCATATTCAATGCTATGCTTTTGCAGTGGCTTTCTTCCTCTCAATTGTACTGCAGTTACTTTACTTATAAGCCTCTAAAGAAGCAGAATTTTATTGTTCCATGATGCAGTGTGCCCTGAGCAAGTCCATATAGTGAGTTGGTAGCAGAAAGGAGAGTGAAACAGTAAGGCTGATTGGTGCCTTTTCCTGGTGTTTCCACATATGACTGAATCAGAGCAATTTAAGCAGTGTCTGCTTGGGAGATGGAAAGTGTATTGCATCTTTTCAACCACGTAAGAGCCTGCTGGATATATCTGAAATATTACAAAAACTGAGCGTTTGCTGGTTGTAGGAATGGACTCCTGGTTGTTTATATCATGATATGGTGCAACAACAATAGTCATGAGATATATTTAAACTTGGCCCAAGGCAGCTTTTTGCTATAGCACTTAATATTATAACATATATATATATATATACACACACACATATAAAAGGTCTTTATATTTCTATTCCAGGTAGTGCATTTATTTCTGTCTTTTTCCTAAAGAAGACCATGAAGACTGCTGATATATTGGGTAAGTAAGCATTTGCTAATATGGACATGTGTGCTGCCATATGCTTAGCAAGCTGTAACTCTCACATAGCCCCCCACCTTCACACTCCCACTTTCCCGAGCAAGTGTTTCAAGGCAGATACTTTCACAACTGGGAAGAAGTGATAAAAAGAGAGAGAATCTTCAGTGCATGAGGATAAGACTGCATTCCCAAATCCTCTGCTCTTCCAACCGTAATTCATTCCTTATGTGTCCTTACTGCTCAAATTTATTTTCATTTTCTATTTTTGCCTCTGAGGTTGTCTTTAGTATTATCTTTATGAGTACAACACAGTTTTAATAAAAACAGGGAAGTTATTGAGTTACTCATTCAAATATAAGATTTTTTTTCTTACTGCATAGACTTCGCACAAAAATTCAATCTCAATTAAAAGTGATAACTTCCATTTAGGTATTAATTTTATCACTTCAAAGAACAAATAATCATGTTGCCAAGTGTTTTGTTGAGAAATGTAGTCTTCACTCTAAAAGCGTGCCAACTTTTTGTCTGTGTCCCAGATTTTTTTGCATATCAAAACTGCCCACCCTGAACACAGCAATACTGAGAGACAAGCACATTTCAGGGTTTGGGCTTTACACCAAGCCATCTCAGCTGGGACAGCACACCTGATGCAGGGCACCTGATATTTCTGTGCTCTCCTGACATCTCTAGGCCTGATTGTCCAAACTATACTGAGGACAGCTGTTCTCATGAATGTTTCAAAGAGATCTGTTCCGTATCATTCCAGGAATACTATATACTATTTATTTAGTTTTGGAATCCAAGTTTGCCAGCTCAGCTGCTACATTCAAAACTCCCCCTCCCTTCACTGATCATGTTTCCCTTATGGCCCTATACACTCTGTGTTGCTTTAACTAGTGTTCAGCACTGATTTATTTTATTTCTGTGAGTTTGACTTTGCAAGAAGGATTTAACAATGTCGCTACATTCCATAGGAATGAGCTGTATGATGGGAAATATGATGATGGTTTTGCAAGCGCATAAATATAGAACAGTTCTGCTTTTCCAAAGGAACTGTGTGAGATAACAGTGCCAGCAAAGCCCTCCGGATGTGCTTTGTTTTGTATTCCTGAGCCTTGTATTCCACACCAATTTATAGGTTTGCCAAGAATTTTAAGGATTACTTGAAGAAAAATTGATTAGCTAATATCTTCCTTAATCCAATACAGTTTATGAGCTCAGGATCGGCTCACTTATATCTTGATACTTCAGTGAACATCTGTGTTTGTCAGCTGGATGTCCACAAGGCAGAACTTCCAGATTTTTATTAAAAGTACAATAATGCAAGTTCGACCTTGAAAAGGGGCCCTGGCAACCTAGTGGCTGAATAGTCTTTGGAAATCAAGCTTTTATAAAACAGTTCATAGGCCTGCAAATACAACAGGGAGTGGCCAAAATGTTGGCCTCACAACAGCTTCACATAAGCATTGGACTGGAACATATGTGTTGCATCTAATATTTCCAGGGCAGGTTGATATCTGGTGCGGATCTCAGTGGCCACACTGACTTTGGGAGAGTTACATATGTTTACGCTGGTTAATGATCTAGCTGACTGCACCAGTAAGCAATTTGTCCTTTCAGTTTAGGCTAAGTTTATGTGATGTGCTTTGTGCCTGTGAGAAATACAAAGAATTGATTCTGCTTTGTCATACCCTTGGTTTTAGAGTTGAGAATATTTGAAAATGCTTTGTTGAGTTGGAATCCAAAATTACACGGCTTTACTGACAACTTTTTTCACATTTCCAAAATTCTCTGAGTCTTTAATAAAAATTAGACTAGATAAGACCACAAATGCAAGATGATCCAATTACCTAAGCACAGATCTGCTTTAACGGACTTAAATGTTTTTCTAGAAACCATTTCCAAATCATCTGGAGAGCAAGGATGACCATGATTGCCAAATACTGTATTACCAAAATAATGTATCCTTTTCTTTAAAGGTGGAACACTGACAGTAACAGGGACATACTTGTTGGTGACATTTGCTCCAAATGTACCTCAAGAGCTCACAGCAAGACAAGTACAGAATTACTTAGTGAGCTGGCCTTTTTTGGTATATTCAGTGAGTATCTGATTCTTACTACTCCCTAAATCAGAAAAACTGGTATTATGGGGCCTTTAACAGCATTATGAATTAGTGGTAGAAAAACTGCTCGTGGCAATAAATTGTGTGATTTTCATAAGAGAGAAAGTCCCTGGGTCATCATCCTTGTCCCCTGCAGCACCAGAAGCTGTCTTTTGAGCTACATGCCAGGGGAAGGTCATAGTCGTGCAGGATTAACAAGAATGGAAAGATTTGGGGGTTTGGGGATATTGAGGGAAAACCTAAATATTGGTACTGCTTATATTTCCTATGTATGTGTTCATGCCACTCTGTCTGCATGTACAGCTAAGTTACAGGGCTTGTCTGGAATGTGATGGAATTGTGCTTTTAAAAAAAGGCTATGCAGACTCTTGGTCCTGCTTTTTCCATTCTTATCACTCTGGTTTATCCCCATGTTGTTAAGCTTGGCTGAAAGGAGCTTTGTATGGAGTTGAGATGTGAAGGGGTGGCCTGCTTTAACCTGAGTTAGAATTCAAATACAAAAATACCATTTTGATTAAAGTATCTGTGTACAAACTTCAAATGCCATATGTCTTCTTTGATGTATTTAATTAGCATCAGAAACAAGACCAGAGAGTGTAGGAGGAATTTCTGTCTCTCTTTTCCTCTGGAAAGTTGAAAATGTTTTCCTCCAGCTGAATGTAAAAGATGCAATATAGGAGCTTCAGAAGCAGTTACTTTTTTCCCAGTAAAGTGACTCACTTGAATTAGATTCTTAGTGCCCAGGCTTTTCTTGGTAGGATGCTCAGTTAGAAAGCCACTGAGTAGACAGTTTGAGGACCTTAATCTTTTAACCAACCTCCAGACTTTACATACATCTAGATATCCATGAGACTACTGATTAAGCGCAAATTACACGCTACCATAAAAAAAATGTTGATCCTCTCTTTCAGTTTGTTGTGCATTTTAAACTCTCTTTCAGTTTTTGTGCATTTTAAAGATCCTGAAAGATGATGATACAGCTCAATGGAAGAAATTAATGTTCATGTTGTATAAATCACAACATGCACTTTCAATCAGGCAGTAGAGAGGCTTTTGAAAGGAGTGCCCAAGAGTTTTGGGGTACTCAAAAGGGTTGCTTCAGCCTCCACAAGAGCTTCAGCAAGTCCATACAATCAGCACAGTGAGAGGGACTTCTTTAGGAGAGGGTTCAGAAGAGGGATCTCAGTGCTCACTGGAGGACCCTCTCTCTTTCCTACTGAATATCCCCCTCTACCATGCAGTTTCGCCTTTAGATGATAATGCCTGGCATTTTAGGCACTGATTTTAAATTGTTGATTCACCCATTTGTATAGAAATGGTGGAGAGAGAAAACTCTCCATTCACACCCAGTGACACCAGAAATTTCTAGGTGACATGCCATTCACATTTTTTTGAAACCAACAGGTTGCTAGAAAAGGGCTTTTCCCCGTCTGAGGACTTTTTTTACTTTGTTTTAGAAAAGTTTGTAAGAACACAACTGAATGTCTAGGAAGACTGTGCTGTATTCTTCTTAGATAACATTATGAGGAAGTGGTAGGTAACTCCTGGACTTTTTTTCCCCTCTTCTCTCTTTTCCCTGCCTCAGCCAGCATCTAATTCTATATGTACAGGATGGGTCGTAGGGAGGGATGGAGTAAGTACACAGCAAATCTTGTTGAATCAACAATATATCAGTCTTTATTTGTTCCTTCTGCTCCCTGGATTCATCTGTGTTGGGCTTCTTCTCTCCAAAGAAAAGGGAGGGAGGAGTGAAAGGTTCCACAAGAGACTGTGAGATACCAGACTGATTATCCTTGTATGCTGCTGGAAAATCAACCAAACCATGTTGTACACATTCTCTTTGGGCAGGGAGCTAGCTATTCATAATTGTTCATAAAATGCCTAGCACAGGTTGGCTCTTAAGATGCAAAAAAGTGCAGCAGAAGTTGCAGAGTTTTCAGTATAAATATATAGTGAGGAGACAGTTCAGAAGTATAATGCAGTCCAACAGTCTTTCTAAAAGTAGCCCCAAAGTGTTGTCTGCTGAGAAACACAAAGCCCCAATGGTACAAAATGTTCTCTGTGGGTGGTAAACCATCCCTATGTGGCATTCCACTGCCATATTGTGCAGAAATAGCCTCCAGTTCCCTCAAGACAACTTTGAGTCACCTTCTGAGACTTTGCAGTAGCATAATCATGTCTGAGCAAGAATGACTAGCCTAGCTTGTTTTTCTCTCTTTTGCTTATGTGCACTTTGAGTCACTACAGATAACATAAATTATAGAGGAAGCTCTTAGGTTTCCCTAAACAGAAGCATAGTAACTATTGGGTTGTTAATATTTAATCTCTGCAAAATCAGGTTCAAAACATTTCTGCTTTTCTTTCAAAGTGCCTAGAAGACCCTCTTGGTTTATTGGTCCTTATGTTGCTGTATATGCTGGGAAAACACTTGAGGCAGACAGTGTGGTATTTTGTTCTGGTGCCTTCTGATAATGCTCAGAAAGATGAAAAACATCATGATTATAAAAAAATGTTGATGAGATGAGGGCTTGAGGAGACTTCTGTAGAGGTTAGTTACAGCAGCCAAGATCATTGTTAGACAGGTCACGTTCCTTCAATTCCTCTAAACAGAATATGTGAAGCCGATATATCTACACACTTCCCATTCCTGGAGTTCATATTTAACACTGCTACAGCTATGAGAGCAAGCAGTGTTTTGGGTAGTTCTCAGGAGACAATCATAGGCAACAGCTGAGACACCCCAGGAGGGCTCCTGTCTGTGTGAGGTCCTGTTAGGAGCCATGCATTCTGCTTGCAGTGTGACTTAATTGTCACAGATTCTCCTTTGTCTTGTGATTAAAGGTGGCCTGTTGGTGGTTCACCAAGCGGCAAAGAACCATGGAAAAACAGTTTGGCTGCTGGGCAGCACTAGGTGAGAACTAATGTTTGAATTTCATGCTTAGTAGGTGAGACTTGGCAGAGCTGAATAAACTTAAATAGCAGCCCTGAAAAGCAAACATCATTTTTTCTCCCTAGGTTTGGCCACAGGACTGCCATCTCTGTCCCTACACCACTTCTGCTCTTGGGGCTTCCTCAGGAGGCAGAAGCAGACATGAACACAGATCTGTGCACCCCTTCAAGAGCTGCCATCAGGGACTCTTATGTCCTTTTGATCATTTTTCTTGGCTGTTTCCTTTCTGGAGTGAGTCTTCTTGGTGGGTTTGTTTGCTTTTAAGCAAGACGAGATCACAGTGGAGCTTTTTGGTAGCTTTAGCAAGAGAAGAGCTGATGATAGGATGAGGATCAACAGAAGGCTGATGGACAGAGCCTGCTGTGGTGTCCTGGTTCAGTCAAGGATTGTGCTGCTTGGCAATACCTGCCAGTCAGGGGTTAGGAGTGAGGTGGAAGAGGGAGTGGAATGCCAGAGCTGCTGTGATGGAACAGTTTGAGCCAGTGACTGCCCCTTGCCTTGGTTTTGGATGATTATTCTTGCATAGTTTGAAATCTAAGTGACAGGGCAGATGATGATGCTTCCCCTGCTGGGATCATCTAGAGGATATAAAATGAATCAGTGTAGGTTTAGCTGACTGCCTGCAGTAGGGTTGTCTCATGGGTTTCTGTACGCTCCAGGGCAACCAGACCAAGGGTGAGGTGACTGGTGCTCAGGTTTGCCCTGGCAGGGGAAGCAAATCTCACAGTGCTGTGTCACCTGATGCCATCTCACACCATCCTGTGTGCCAGTCCTGGACTTGTGTGTCATGGAAAAGAATGCCTAAGGCGTCTCTGGAACTCCTTTCTTAGACTGGATATCCTTCTGAGTGAGGAGTATTTATTTAGCACATCTTTCTTCTATTCTGTTATCAATTTTTCACTATCAAAATAGCAATTGAAGCTATTTGGAGGTTGTTGTAGGTGCAGCCTGATAATGTGGTATTCTGCGGTGGCCCTAATATGTGTTTGCCAGTGGCATGAAGAGCAAATCTGCTAACTTTTACTTCTTCTCTCAAGTTCCCTTAAAGCCCTGTCACAGTTTTCCACAGGGAGGCCAAGATGAACTCACCTGTCTGCAGATCTTAAGATGTATTCTGCCTCGGTTCCTGATTTAGACATACCCAGTGTTGCACTGTTGAATAAAGCTGGGGAGGCTGGCCAAGTTACTTACCGTGAGACTGAAATTTCTCTTTCTTTGTGCTGTCTCAAAGGCTACCAGGTTTCTGAGCACTTTTCAGTGCAAAAGTCTATCATCCCTGTTTTCATAAGTCTGCTGGGCCTCACAGAAGCTTTATGACTCTTGCACTTGTTGCTTTCTTTAGGCATAGAGGGGGAGAATACCCACACTTTTGAGATGGCAAAAGGCAAGAGTTACTGAGGGAATCTGCAGAGACAAATTAAGAGCAAGTCAGTAAATTTAGCTGTCTGTCATTTAGCTGTCATATGTTATTGAAGGAGCAAAACCAGACCATGCATGGTGTAGGTAAAGCTGCTTCGGCAGCTGCAATTGCAGCTGCAGTGTGGTCTGTTGGTTGCCATTGAGATTTGCAAGGTAAGCTTCTGTCAGGTACCTTCGATTTGAGAACTGCTATGTGAAATAAATGCTTTCCTCCTTATGATGTATGGCAGAAAATTTGAACAAAATTTTGAGGAGAATTTTTAGTAGAAATGGTGAGAGGGGCAAAAGGGGTAGGATAAATGAGCTTGCACATGGCAAAGAGTGACACTGAGAATATTATAGCTAAAAGCAGAGACTGCTCTATCTTTAGCTAAGTGCTTTACTCCATAGGAATTATAAACAGAGTTTCTGTAAGAATTATTACAATAAATATGGGTACCTTTGCTGTCACATTAAAAAAGTCTTCTCAACATTACCAGTGATAAAATATAGATAGAAGTGCAAAAAGAAAAACTAAAGAAATAAGAAATGCTCAGTTTAAATTTTGCTATAATAGGAAAGATAAATGACAATAATTGTTTGATAGCTCAGTCAACCGGCAATAAAATTATTTTTTAGCAGAAGGTGCAATGAAAAGTGATGTGACATCTCAGTCTTTGAATGAAGCATTTATTGCATAGTTTCACAGCTCTAACTTTCTTCTCTTTTATTTTCAGATCTTAGAAATTTTAATATTCTGCATTCTTCTCTATTTTTACAAAAGAAAGGCTGTGAAACACATCGTGGTTTTGTTAATGATGGTAGCGCTACTGGGTAAGAACATATTATTCACTTTAATGTTCCTGTCTGTTACTTGATAATTCCTTGTCACTCAGTCTCAGCTAGTTTAGATTGGGGCCATTTCAAAGCGGTGTGCTGAAGGAGAAACATTTGAAACATTTCACATGATTTTTACTGGGGTCTCTTTTTGGAGAAAAAAGCTGATTATGAAACAGTTTCTATGCTTATTGATGGGAGTATTTCTTTTTGCAGATACCTTGAAATGAATATGCTATGTGGAATGGTATTCTGAAGCCTTTTTTTAGATAACACTTTAGGTTTAGATCCTGGGAAAGTGGACTGTTTGAAATTTTGTTTTGGAGAACAGGCTGTGAAAATCAGTTCTTTAAAACAGAGCAGCTTAAGACCTTGTAAGCACTCCTTAAACAAATGCAGTGATATGCTGTGACTGTACAACAACTTTTCTTTGAATTATTGATGACTATTGTCTATGTTGCATATGCAACATTTAATATTTTACCACCTTTCCAGAAGCATAACAAGAACTCAGTGGGCCACTGAAGTTTGTGGGCCACTGTCACCACAATCAATAACCAGAGAAATAGGGAGGTCACTCTATCAGGTAACTTTCAATAAAGTTAAACTTGAATCAGTTTTGAGAAATGTCAGGAGGTTATCTCTGAAGCTCCACTGCTTATATTAAGAATTTTCACCACCCCATGTGACAAATTGTCCAGTCCTTGTCGCTTCTCCATGAAAGCCTCATGGGACACCACAAGTCTTTGGTTGAAGTGAAAAGTGCTTGAACTGTGTTGTTCAAGTAAAAGGTCATTCTCTCAGTTCAGTGAATGCACGTATTAGTTTGCAAAGACTCATAAAGCACATTTCTAATGGAGATGATCGTGAGGGTTTTGATAAAACAGAATTTCACTAAGGTTGCCAGGTACAAAATTTGGACTTGACTGAATGTGAAAAACCGTCACAGCTTTATTAAATATCTTCCTTCAGATACCTGAGTGGTTTCTTAGTCAGCTCAAAAGCTCAAACTTTTAGAACAACTTTTTGGGATAGTCTTCCCATATAGGTTTCCCAGTACTAGGAACATTAGGATGTGTAGCTCTGCAGAAGCATCGAAGGATGTCCACGCTCCATGTATGAGGCAGAGATGGAAGAGCTCCAAAAGTCTTAGGTCTAACTGTTCCACTACTCCTGGTTTGCAGGAGGGAAGTGTGAGTCTAGCCATTCCCCAGCTCCTAGCCCAGAGCGTGGCAGCTTTGGCAGAGCTCTCCTGAGCTGCTCTGCAGCTTCCAGCACTGCTATGAGGAGTGTGAAGCACTGTGCACTCCTAAGCACTCCTGAGTGGATCCACCCTCCTTGTTGCGTAGCTGGAAGCCTGAAGATCTCCAGGTGGGCTCCTACACCTCCCTGCCACAGTTCTGGGCAGGCCCACCGTGATGGCTGCCCCAAGCAAGGTCAACACACAGCTCCAGGAGACGTGGGTGGTTCATCTGTGTAGCCCTGCACGCTTATTTTGCTGTGGAGCCTGCCAGCCGTGATGCTGCCAGTGTGAAAGGGACACTTGGAGATGCTGAACAGCAGCAGGGCTGCAAACCTGTGGCCTGGCAGGCACTAACTGCAGCTTGGTAGTCAGGCTGCAAACAACCAAAAATACAATTTCAGCTGGTGGCTGCTGAGGTTTTGGTGAGCATATGCAGCTTGAGGAAAAATTTGTTATTACTTCTGCTCTATTAAAAAAGACACAAACAAACAAATCCTGGTTTATGGGAAGTTCTGAAATACTGATATTTCCCTTGAAGATGAAATACATGATTTCATCTGACCCTGGTTCCTGCAGCTGTGCTGGTGCCTCGCAGTCCCCACAAAGTTACACCTAGAGCCTTCTCTTTGGTCTCCAACCTTTCTGCTGAGCAAAGTGGTGGAGGGGTTGAGAAATTGCCCAGTAACTTTGCTCCCAGCTGTGACCTGCTCCCTGACACGTGACCCTTCGAAGGCCCTGCCTGCTGGAGGAGTAGATGAGGCTTGGGGTCCTGTTGGAAGCTTGGGCAAGGGAATTTTATCTTTTTCTGTTCAGATACATTCCTAGTGGAGTGTTCATACAGATATAAATTAAATGTAGAAAGGTTTCTTTAAAGAGAGAGCAGCCCTTGTGTTTCACTGGATATGCAAGCTACTTTCATCATGAAGAAAATACAGAGATGATCATAAAATCTGAAAACATTTTGCTTAGTACAACTGCAAATTCATTTGGTGAGAATTATCTTACCTCATGTGTATACTGAAAGTTATCATAAGTTTGAGGGGACATATTTCAGATTAAAGTGAGATTTCAGAGTTTTCTGCCCTAACAGCTGGAAAGTGACATCATTTGTTACACTAGCCTTGAGGGGAGGTCGTTACAACAGAGAAACGAAAACCATTTCCTAGGTTTTGAAACTTATTCCAGAGCTAATTTAGCAAAAAAGACCATTCCACTTTTCAAAGAAACTAAACCAACCAACAAAACAAACAAACGAAAACCCCCGGTCCTTTCTTTTCTACCTTATTAAAATTATAGGGCATGGAAACTGCCCTTTCGTCAGAAAAAAAATTTCAGGAATGTACTCTTAGGTGGACAGTTCAAACTACTGATTTTTACCTATAAGTGTTCTTTTAAAATAATAACTCCCCCATATTACAGTGCAAATCTCAATTTTTATGTGCACTGCTTGTTGGGGCTTGAGTGAATTTTTGACTTTGTATCATACCATTTGCACTACTGCAGACCAGCATTTGACCTCTACTTGGTGTTACAGCTGTGTTTGTTAAACCACTTCACCTGTTTCCATTACAGAGAAAGAAGTGAAGTACTTGGTGAAAATGTTGTTATGAAAACAGTGAATTTCATGGTGGTGAACAGGATCATCACAAGATGTGTGCAACTCTTAAACTCTCCCTGAACTTTTGGACTTGCTAAAAGAAAAATACTTACAATCAAAACCACAGACCTGAATTCATTCTTTTCCCCCCACCTTTTCTCCCAACCTTGGCCTGAACTTTTTGCGCAGTACAGGTCTCCTTGCCAATCTGAATGTTGCAGTTACAGGAGGATGAATCAAACCACTGAAATCCAACACTCCTCAGCTCTGCACGAGGGTGGAACTGGATCCCAGCTGGGGAACGGTGCTCCTGACAATTAATTACCTTTCTTCAAAGGTCATCTCTGAAGCCTGACTCTTAAAATTTTTAGTTTCTTTTGGATTTGTTACATTTTATTTGCAGTAATCACAGCCTACTTGGGTTAGGCTGTGATTCAACAAACCAATAGCACACTCCAAAAGAAAATCTAAAGTAACTCTCAGCTCCTTTTCTAAAAGACCTGTCTTGCAAGACTTCTGTGAACTGATGACGTGTTAAAACTGTTGCCTGCTGTCTGAGATGTTTGTGGTGATGCAATGAGAGTGATTCAATGAATTGACAACACCCTACTGAAATATTCTGTTCTATTGGCTAAGTCCCGTAAATGTTCTTAAGAGCCCCACCCCTGAAGAAAAGTGCAGTTTTGGTTGTCTGCCCTCCATACATAACTCATGGGGAGAGTTAGGAGCTTTGGGATGTGATCCCAGAAGTCAGCTTTGGCGAGCTTTGGCCAGCTCCCACCTCAGCAGAGAAATCCTGAAGGTGAAGAGTTAATTTAGGCTGCCAATGTCACATGCAGGCTGCTATTAAGAGGTGTCCTAACTGCTTTGAACAGATAACCAGACCTCTCAGACCTCTCCTGAATAATGCAACATGGGCTCCAAATCAGCAGCTGGAGCTAAGTAAAGTATGTCTAGAAGTCAAGGGGGCTGTTGTACCACCTCCAACTGGTAGTCCAATGTGCTCCAAAAACTTAAAAGCAAAACACAAAGCACACATGGAGCTAAGGCCACTTTGGGTTTTGACGTAGCTTAGCAAGTGTTTATAAAATTATACACTTGGTTTTAGGTGCCCAAATCCTACCTGTCTTATTTTAGGTAATCAGACCTCTGGCTCTGACCTGGAACCTTGTCCTCTCTCCCTCGTGCTCTGAGGTTACTGCTGTGAATCCAGCCCTGCTAATCTATCCCCTTCTCTTTCAGCATCAATGACTGTCATTGCTGTAAAGGCTGTGTCCAGTATGATAACACTATCTGTGAAGGGGAAAATGCAGCTAACTTATTCCATTTTCTATGTCATGGTTGCTTTAATGGCAAGTTCTTGTGCTTTCCAAGTCAAGTAAGTGACCTTCTGCTTATCTCCTAACCTTCATACACATTTTATTGCTGGGTATGGCAGTGTGGTAAAATATGTCTTACAGCTGAACAGAGTGTCTGTTTCCTTTATGCCTGTCCCTCTGCTTCAGGTGCTGATAGCATCATTCAGTAATCTCATCTAGACTGCTCCAGTGTAAGCCTGAGTATTTACTTGCATGATTATTTTCCAGTAGAAGAGCCAACCCAGCTTTTTCATGGCAGAACATACCATTCCCATGTGGAATCAGAAAGTCCATGCATTATTATGCAGTGACTCTCCATGGCTGACTCAGGAACTCCCCTGTAGCAGATTATAGAGTGATTTACATCCAGCTTGTCTTCACTGGAAGAACAGCTCTGGGCATTTAAAATAGGAAATAAGAGCTTGGTAGATAGGAAGCTTCTGAATTAACCTCCATCTTTCCAGTTTTTTTTTATTTCTTTTACCGGGCCAAAATTAAAACAGAAGTGAAATGTGCCCATTTCATTCCCTGGGCTGAGTGCCTTTCTCTCTTCTCTCTTGGATGCATTTTCTAATGGGGACAGTACTGTCAGAATAAATTTTTCATTTTATTTGTTTCCTCATTTTATTTGATTGTCATGTGTTAGCTCAGAACAGCCTGTGCTGGAACAATCTCCTGGATCCAGCGCTGGGCCTTGGTATCATTGTTTTAGTTCCTGTGACCAAGTTTGTTGCAAATGGGAGAAAATAATGAGGTGTTTTCAATGACTTCAAAATCCTGACTATCCTGTGGATATGTAGGATTTCTTTATTTTTAAAGCACCATGGAGACTGTTCAACAGTTGCTAAAATAACTATGCAATTGCTTTAATGGCTAAAACAGATCCAAGCTTGGATTTTTACTGTGCACATATATTGCACCAGTGAAACATTTAAATGTGGTTCTTTTTATAGGTTAGAATATACTCTGAAGGCTCCTGATTTTTCTCTTTTGGTCTGAAATGCACTGTTCACATAACAAAGTATCTTCTGGTGCATCCACAAGTTCACACTCATGGTTGATCACTCTGTGGGTAAATGTTGATAGCTGTGGTCTCTGTGAAAGTGAGTTAATTGCTTTGCCTTTTCGATCTGCTGATGCAGACTGTGCAGGCTACTCCATGGCCAGTTTCTTGACCCTGCAGGTCTGTGTGCAGTGTATGCTGCTGTGGTCCTGCACACTCTTGGTCGTGAATGTGGTGAGGATTCATGTTGCCTTTCTGAAGACGACAGCAGAGAGTTTCCAACCCAAGGAGCGCAGGCTTGGAGCTATCTTCCTGGACTTTCCCGGCGGGACAGAATGTTTCTGGGGTGTGATTGCATGGATAAATATACAAATAGGTGTTTCAGCCAAGCTGGATGGAGCATTAGCAGCAACGTTGACTTCAGCAAAGTGAAACAGTTCCTACAAGAACTCACATGTTCATGTTTGTGCTGTAAATATACCCTTACACAACCTGTTTAAATTAGAGCAACTTGTCCCTGGCTGCTTGCAGGCAGCACTGCTTCCAAGAACCAATGCTGATCATAAGAAATAATACCCTAGCATTCCTGCCTTATCTGTGGCAGACAAAATTTTTCCAAAAATGCTTAAAAAAAATATCCATTGATAGCCCATGGCCAGAGGGATTCATGCCAACTCTCTTGTGTCTTGTTTGTACTCTGCAGAGTCAAACCAGAAAGTGAATTCAATACATGTATGCTAGTTAGGGCTGTCAGAGTAAGAAACAGTCACACATTGTTAAACTGACATAAGGTGGCTTAACCTGACTTAAAGTACAAGGAACCTCTTGTAGGCATGAGGTGTAATAATGCTTGTCTTGCAGGTTCTTGAATCAAGCAATGCATCTGTATGAAGCAACAGCAGTTGTGCCCATTAATTTTGTGTTTTTCACCACCAGTGCCATCATTTCAGGTTTGTTTCCAGCCTTCTGCCTCTACACAATGATGTTCTAAACATCACGTTTTCAAAAATTACTACCTGTGAACAGGAACCCGAACCAGCCATGGTTTTTCTCTTCACAAAAAGTTTTTCCTAAGTCACAGGTGTTTAAGTTCTGAAAAATAAACAAGTTCACAACTTCTGAAGCAAAATAAATGGCAGGGATGTTGGAACTAGATTATCTTTAAGGCCCCCTTCCAACACAAACCTATTTTCTATGAAAAACAATCAAATTCTAGCTCTTCCAGAATAGATATGTGTGATTTACTGTGTCTTGCTGGCTTACTAGAAGTACCTGCATTTATCCTAGCCTCATCTTGACATCCAGTAAATGCGTTTACCATGTGCACACCAGCCTCTCTGTATACGAACTGGTAGAGTAATTTTAATGGCCTGGCAAACTACTCAAATGACAACCAGCTGTGTTTCATAGTAGTTAGCGTATATTCTGTTTCAGAAGGTGGAATTCTGGGTTAAGTGAAGGAAATAAAATTACTCCAAAGACTTTTTAAGCATTTAACATTTTATTCTGGGTGAGAACTTTGAACTCAGCATTGTTAAAGAGGGACTGCAAATCTTGGAAATGGTGTGCAGCATCAGAACATGAGCAGGGAGGACGACTGAGATGCTGTATCAGCAATGAGCCAAAATGATCATGTTGTTAGAACATTTATGACTCATTTTAACACACACTGGGGGCTTTCCTGTCATTGCTGTGCAGAGTTTCTCATGCAGAGCTGCCATTAATGAGAAGGGAGTTAGCTTCACGCACAGATTGCCTCAGCACCTGTGTTAGAAGAGACCTACACTTTGTGACTGAGAGAAGACTTGTGCCAAAAAGGGGTTGCATTCCTATGGCCATATGGGAAGTTTGGCCTGGTGCCTCCTTAAGAGATCAAGTACCTATTCAGGAATGGCTTAATAGCTTTGAGACTGGATACACATGTATTTGCACCAGGTTAGTTAAACCAGTGTAGGGCTTAGAAGAACAACCTCTGCTGAATCTTGCTGGGCTACTCGTAGAAGGTATCTTGTCTCGTGCCACCCCCATCCCCAGTTACAGCCTTTGAAGACACAGTCACACTTCAGCTGCACTGGTTCACACTGGTGTTTCTAAGCAGAACTATGCTCATCAGTGGTTTAAAGCTAATATACTTGGCTGCTAATCGGGGCAGCTGAGATCCAGATACACATCTGGTTCTGTCACCTCCACTACAGAGGTGCTAATTCCTGGAAGAGGGGTGACCAGAAAGAGCTAGTGATCCCTTCAGCCAGAAAGATTTGGCAAACTTGTCTGCTGGAGCCCTTAACTTGGTATAAACATGAGGGACACAGTTAATTATTGAAAATCTGTTCCCAATTGGAGTTAAGATGTCCACATGGTCTGTTGGAGTATCTTAACGAAATCCATGAAGAACCTCTTAGCTATATTGGTATGTCTTTGCTTGTGAATAAGACCTTGAGTTTGACCTGCATAAAAACTGTTGCTGACAATGCAAAAAATACGTGCATCCGTGCAGTTACTAACCCAGCACATGTTCCAACCTGATTGACTAAATCTTCACCAGTCCCATGCAGTATCTTGAAAAAGCCTAGATTATAGAATATAGGCACATAAAGTGAACACATCACACTGTGCATTAATACCTTATTTGGGATTTTTTTGCTCCGTTTAAGCATGACACTGCTCCTGACCCTCCCAGCTGTAATTCATATCACTTGGAAGCCAGTCAAGATCTGCAATTCTTGTTTCTGTCACATTCCAGGGGTCATATTTTATCGGGAATTCCAAAGTGCAGCTTTCCTGAGTGTGTTCATGTTTCTGTTCGGGTAAGTATATCAGCCTAAAATCTGCACTGTTTCAGTTTGTACTGAAACACCATTGCCTTGTGCCTTCTTTTCTCAGTAAGAAGAAACCTGCCTTGTTATTAAAATATTATGGAAAAGCCATTATAGCAGGATAAAAAAAACACTAAAAAAAAAGATTGATGTCTGTGCTTTGGGAGTTTGGAGCCCGGTTTTGAATCCAAATATGTAAAAATGTGAGACACTTATGAACTACTAATCTCATGATGGAATGAAAAACCAGCAGCATGTGTTGCTCCAGCAGGAAGAAGAAATCACTGCTCTGCACCAAATATCAAGTTACAGGGGGTTCTTTTACGACTGTGAGACGTCTCCTCCCATGTTACCTTCCAGTTGTGTGTCTGCTGCTGCTAGGCATGGGCAACTATATGAGCTGCTTGCCTATAAGGGAATAATATAATAACTCTCTCCCACCGTCCTGTGTCAAGAAAGACACAGTGTGCCTGCAGAAGAATTCAGAGCATGCTAAATAAATTCCTGAAGAATGGCCTAGGTGTTATGAGAGCAGGAACCTTCTCCTGGCTCTCAGCACCATAAAAACTTTTGGGACAGGGGACAGTTACTTGATAATGGGTGTGAGATGGTTAAAAGCACCTCAGAGAACTACTGGAGGTGTCTTGCCACAGTGCTGTCAAATAAATGGGGCTGATAGCTACAGACATCATCTTCTTCTGCAGTTGGGCTGGAGTAGGTGCACACAACTGCTGTCTTGTCTGACTGCAGACAAAAAAAGAGACAAAAACTGGAGATGAGCAACCATGTATTTGGCAAATAGGAATTAGGAGTTGTGCGTCCAACATAGAGCGGATAGAAGATTTGTCCAACCATAGCAGTTTTTCACTGCTTCTGGCTTGCAGCTTGCCCTTGAGACACACAGTCAAATGAGAAAAACAACAGAGATGTTGATTGTCTGCAGCTAGACTGAGTTGTTAATGAAATTGCACATGCTAGAATGCTAGTTTGGATGCTCCGTGAAGATTTGCTCAGGGATTCAAATGTTGTGGTCTCACACTCACAGGCATTTGATTAGGTATATATTGCTGAAAGTGTAATTTTGGCTGTGGAGCCTTTGGAACTGATAATAAAGCTTCAGGAGGCAAAAACTAGACTGAAAGAAAGCCCAAGATGAATTTATAGAGCTGCCAGGAAGAAGTGTTTCTTTATAAACTCAGCAACTTGTATTTGGAAGTCCTTGAAAAAGAAACATGGAAAGAAATTCTCATCTCAGATGCAGCGAACTGTTTCTAATGATACTCTGCCACTGTTATTTTGCAGGTGTCTACTGTCTTTCCTTGGTGTGTTTATAATTGCAAGAAATAAAAAAGAGGAGCATTTACAAATTCCTTTTATTGACTGTGGACATATTCCTGGTACGTAGGGCTTTTTTTCTGTCTCTGTTTAAATGAGGTATCTGATAATGGGATGACCTAGGAGAATTGAGTCACAGATGTGCTCTAGTTATATTTAAAAAATATACTGTTCCGTTAATTTCTATTCCTGTTCCCAACAGATTTTTCAAAGAATTTTTCAGTTTTTTCAAAGTATTGTTACCAGTCAAATGAAAACAATGATTACTAGAGCAAAGAATGTTTAAATGGTGGATTGATGGGGGATTTGTTTTATTAAAGTTCTTTACAGAGTTCTTGTTTTTCCCTTCTCTCACCACATTTCCTTAGGACACAAACTGACAGGGAAAATTCAACCAGATTCTCACAGTTCATGCTATGGCACACTGAATAAGGAAGATGACTTGGTGAAAAGTCAAAGCTGAAAGAAGAAAGGACCTTACTTGTCAACTAACAGGAGGAATACCACTGGAACAAGGCACAGCAGCACTTTTTTGTTGAACATATTTAAGTACACATTGAACTCCTGTATGTTGATGAGTCATAGTATTATTTAATCCTAATTAATTTATCCTGTGATTCTACCAAATGGATTCTAAATATAAAGGAAGCCTTAAGAAAAACTAAATAACCATTAATGATACAGAATATTCTCCTAGTATCAATGCCTCTTGGGGATATTTTTAGAGTCTTAATTGCCTTGAAATGCAAATAGGCACAGAACAGGATTATAAAAATTCCCCTTTGAAACCCCTCAGATCTGTGTAGATGCTTAAAGACAAAGGTGGGAAATGAGAATTTTCATAAGTGACTTCAAAGTATTCTGCTGTATGTACAATTCCTTTTAAATCTGTTCCTTCCTGTTCAGGAGTCAAAGCTGTGGGCATATATACAGTGGACACAAATAGGTAAACACAAAGAATTTTGGATTATACGTAGAGGGACAATCCTGATTATCTCCTACCATCAGATTGATTCTCTTATCTTCCAAGGAAATAAACACTTGTGTGAGGAGGGGGAAGAGAATATTTGCCATAAACATAGGCACGGGGCATGTGCATACATCTGAGGTGCCCAGCCAAGGCAGGTCTAAGGAATTATGCTTGACATTTTACATCCTTCGAGAAGAGTCCTGTGCACTGGGCTCTACAACCTGTTAGCATAGTCTGTTCTGAGTTTAGCTTCTTTTTCAGCAAAAGCAGGTTTTAGTGAAGAAAGTACATAGTTCTTCAAAGGAAGTGGGGTAGCCAGGCTCCCTCTCTTGATGTGTCTTGGAAAAATACTCCTAAAAAAGAAAAGTAGGGCAGGTCCTTGTTACCACTCTGTGAGGAAAGGCTGTAAAAAACAGAACCACAAAGAGTCATGGTAACTTTTCCTTCATTAAATGGTAGTGTCTCCACATTGATTTAAAGAGCCAGAAGTGATGGGAAACATGGCAATACAGGCTCCGTATTCAGATTTAGGAGGTCTTTGTGTCCCTCAGTCCCAGACGCCCAGCAAAAAAAAAGCTTCTTCCGGGCATTCGTCGTGGGTCCACTTAACCCTGCCTGATAGTACTGATACACCTCAGCCAGCACAGTGGGGAGCAGACACATCCTCTGCATAAAAACTTAAAGTGCTCTTGAATAATGTGCATGTCTTGTTTTTGGTTTAAATTAATCTGCAGTAATGGATAGGGGCCATAGACTGTGTGTATTTTGTTTCAGTGAGATAAGAGGAAATGAGGTCTCTTTTTCTTTCTCAAATAATTTTTTATTTAATTTTAAAATAGCTACAGTTGAAGATCCATAAGGCAATTTAATTTCAAATGCTACAAAGCACGCACAGAGCTGCAGTTTTTCCTGTGGAGCAATGGCCCAGGAACTAGGGCGTGTGGGGACTTGTGAAGCTGTTTTTCAATATGGACCTTTCCCAGCTGACACAGGACAAGGCTCTGTGTCTGCACCTTACTTGTACTAGCTGCCTGGCTTGGCCTTCCTTTCCCCTCTTACAGCTTGAGTTGAAGTTTCTAAAGCTTAAATAAAAATTTTTAAAAGTACGTTATTTTCAGGTGCTTTCTCCAGGGGGTAAGAGCATGCCTCTCTCTTTCTTTTACAAGTCAAATTTAAGCTTCTTTCTAAGTCTCAAGTGAGAGTGTGTGCTAAAGATGGAAATAGGAGGCCTACAGACTTTTGTTCTATGACCTGGGAAACAAATGAGTGAAAGGGTTTGGTTTTGTTGCTTTTGTAAATGATTGGCCTTGGGCATCTTTCCGAAATCTGTTTCCATGACTCAGGAGGTCTGGAGGAGGTAATAAAGGTTACCAGGTATAGGATTTTCTCTTTAGAGTAAGAAATCAAATGTAAAAATCTGTGGCAAAAGTTATTATTTATTTTATATTTCTGTATTTCTTCCTGAACAATGTTTTTTTTTTTTCTTCCTATGGGTTTATACTAAAATTATAAGGGTTAAAATGTTGTCTTTAAACCCTAACATATTTGAAAGTAATTTATGGAGCAAAACACTGGTGAGAATTATATGCAATTAAAAGTTGTGATTTGACACGGTCTTTGAAGCTCAAGTACGTTTCAACTAATTAATATATTACAAGATCAGAAAAACTCAGTGATGAGAAGTCATTACTGCTCTGCCAAGAAAGGGACATGACTTGTTTCAAGAATCAGTTTCTAATCAATGCTGTTTTCAGATTCTGCTTGCCATACTTAGGTAGCAAACACCACAGACAAAGCAAAAGCCTTTGCACTGGAATACTAAACCGTCTCTGAAGCCCTTCTCTTTAATAATGAGTTATTTTTCTGTAACGTTTTTCCTGATATCAAAAATGTGAGCTAGATAATAAGCTGCAAAACTTGCACCTGCAGACTGAATTTTCCTGAACAGATCCTCCATGGGATATGCAGAAATCAAACCAGGGGAAGGCATGGTGGGCAGGCAGCATCCCATGTGGTCCTCCAGGCTCCAGTTTGGGATTTTTGACAGACCAGAACCAGGAGGACTCGTTTAATGCTTGTTCCACTGCTGGTCACGCTGCAGCAAGGAATGAAGTATTAACTGGCCATGGGCCTGGAAATGGGAGCTCTGGAGTAGAGCGAGGCTGTTTAATTTTTGCTGTAAAATATCAGGATGCATTTACCAAATGGTTTCAGCTGGCAAAAAATAAGTGACCTTTGGACTGGATTTGTCTATCTGCCGATGGTAGGGGCCTGGTGTTCTCCTGGCAGGCTGATTGCCTGCTCCTCCCTACAGCCCAACTTTTGGCAGCATCATGCTTTTCATGTAAGGGCACTGGTTACCTAAAGCCAAAGGAAAGAAGCTGGACATTATAAGGGCTTGAGTTTCTATGCTTTGCAGCTATGGTTTCATGCACTTGGCAAGCTGCTTGAATGGTTCAGCGCTGCTGAAAGACTCATCCTCTTTTTCCTGGATGTGAGGTCCTGTGGCTTCCTGTGAGCCAGTTCAGCTAACCCATCCTGCAGACACAATCTGTATCCTTCTTGCTGGGATAGCTCTCTGAGCTGAGGCAACTGACTGGAGAGTATGGTGGGAAGGATGTGAAAAGGAGGAGAAGGAGTGAGACCTCTCTTCTTCAGGGGGAACTATTACATTATTTCTCTCCTGAGGAGATTCTCTATACAGCAAGCGTTCTGCTAAGATCACTCTTCATGTATCACCATAACCCAAATACAGTTATGAGCTTCTTGAAGAACTTTTAAGCGTCTGACTCCTGAAGCAAAACCGTGAGCCGGAGAACTGGCTTCTGTATAGTGAGCGATATGTGGCCCCAAAGGGGGCTGAGATAGGCAGCTTGTGACACTAGCAGTGTCTCAGGGTCAACTAGAAGCCCAGACATATGTCTGACTATGAATGATTCTGAGGATTAATTTTTTTCTTTCCAATGACTGTTTGCTATAAGGTGTATAAACAGTGCTGGAAGGATGGACTGAAAAGTCTTCTGAACTCAAAATGGTCTCACTCTTGTGATCTCTCCTTCCAGCCCACTTTATGCAGGATCGTTGGTTGCTTGCAGAGAAAAGTGTTGCCTCTGATAACACTGAGGTGCAGATGATTAGGCTGAGCTGTCTTTCAGTTTGCCCTTTTGTTACCGTCCTCTAAGACTTGGCATTTTTCTTGTTGGAATTTATTGTTCATTCCTTCTGCAGAAATCAGCTGGACTGTGTTAACAATCAGCCCAAAGGAGACAAAGGCTAACTACCATAATTATATACCATATATTGTATGTGGTTTAGCTTGGCTTTTTTTTTCCTACTGATTTGAGAGTGAAGGCTGACTATTCTCTGCCTAGAAAAGCATCTCCCTTGGTGGATGGGAGATGTTTTAACCTTTTGAAGATGAGAGATGCATAGAGACAACTTCCAGGCACTTGGCTGCAGTAACCATTTAGTTGCAACCTAAAAGGAGGCAAATACGTCGCTACATATTAAGCACTCATGACCATTTAGAAAGGATCCTGGTCCTCTTGCCATGTGTTACATCTGTTCAGAGCATATGTAGCTGATCTGAACCCTTAGGCGCATAAACATATTCTTGAAGCATGCCTTGAGGATGTCAATGTCTCTTGGGCATGTACTGTCTTCCATGCAGAGCTCTTACTGGGTCCTCCCTTTAGGGAAATTAGACTGTGGGGTGGATATACACCACAGGATTACTCTGATAAGAAGATACAGTACTGCCAGAATGTTCCCATGACCTGGGAAGTGTTTATAGAGTACTGCCTTACAAGGAAGTTGTATAAACTTACAGACTTAGATTACATTGCCTTTATTTTCTGATTCCCACCAAAGTAAGCAAGGGCAGTTTTGGGTATCCACAGAAGCAGAATTATTAACACCTCAGGAACTTCAAGATCTAAATAGTTAGGTGGCTGCTGAGTAGGCTTCTTATTTAATCTAAATCCCAGTTTTGCTCTAAGGCTTGTCCAGGCCTTTCAAAGTGCATTTCATAGTACAAATCTGCAGCAGCATTTTGATTGCTCATGGACTCGGTCACCAGTGCCAGGAGAATTTGTGTCAGTTCAGTTCACAAGGTAACCATGAGGAGGACGGTGTTCAGCGGCAGACTGAGAAATCATGGTGGCTGAAGAGTTTTGCATGAATGCAGAGGGGTCCACACTACAGTGGTCTCCTGGACTCCTTGTTGACAGTGTCAACAAAGAATTTGTTGACAATATTTAAAGGAGAGCTACTGTAAAGGAAATGATTAAACGGGTGGCTCTAACACTGACTGCTTTACATGAAGTCGATATTTCACTGTAGTCCGTGGCACTAATACCTTAAATATGAAAAGTGGTCTGTGGCCATTGATGAAGGAGCCAATTTTTGTACTTTGCTAAATCACATTGGGAAAAATAGAAATGATTGATTTAAGCCTCCAGCACAAACATGCACTTGCCAGCTCTCTAGTTGGAGATTTCCATTCTTGGAATAGGCATTGCCTTGCCTAGATGAAATCTTTGGAGTCTGCTGCCAGATCTTTTGCCAGAATCATTAAACTGGTTGAAATAACAGCACTGTCATTTGTCTTCCATTTGATAGCTTGTGGGCGTAAATCCAGAGCAGCATGAACACAAGATCAGTAGTTTTCTCTCCATTTGAAAAAAAAGTTAAAAGTTTTTCCTGAGTTTCAATAGCAAGTGTATCAAGCCCCGAGCTTTATGCTGTCTAATGCTCTCCAATGCCCTCAGCCAAGAGTAAGAAAGCAAGCTTGCACTGCACAGAGCCTGCTAATTAGGCAGTTCTTACCTGTCAGTGAAGGTCACTGCTG